AGGTGGTTTTTTCCCTATTAAACCCCCCAAAACCCCCCATTTTTTTTTTTTTTCCCCCCCCCCCCCCCCCACACACACAGTGATGTGCATCTACTCCTATCTGTTGGACTTTTCAAATGTCAGTGCACTCAGTGGTGGTGATCAGTTGACATTCAAGCCATGAATCTAATTTCTGCCTTTTGTTTCTTGCGGAAAAAATCTCCCCCCAGCGTTTGACCCGCATTTTGATGAACCGTAACACATCTTTATTGAACATTCATGAGCAGAAATAATTTCTTTTATAGCGTCCTCCTGTAGCTCCGCACTTAACTCTTCCTCAGAGTCTCTTTCTCTGGATAGCACTTACAATATTTTATAGATCATTTTGACAGAAACTTTGCCCCAATTTCGCTCCCACAGGTCTTTTCACCGCTTCCCACTTCTGACTTGGGACTCTTGTAGGTGAATGCTGTTGACCTCCATCCTGCACTACATTACTGAGCTCCTTAATCAAGACTGGCCCAAAGGAAATAACTGTCTCAAACAGGAATATTTACTCAGTTTGCATTTCTGAAAGCAGAGTCTCTGCCAGAGTGGAGTGTCAAATCCAAGCCAGTCAGGTTTTAATCATCCAGTACAAAGAAAACACTTCAATCCCAGTTGAAGCGTTTCCAGCAGAACTCCACAATACAAGCCAATATACCGTAATTTTCTGGATTATAAGCCACATCTTTAACACGCTGTGAAACAGTAGTGGTGTGAGACAGATCATTTTTGAAAAAATAAATAAATAAATATCCTTTGCCTTCTCCCAGTTTTCCCAGTGCTAAGTTCAGCAATACATGTGCCTGCAGTCTGAAGCGCTTTGAGTGATCAGGTTCTATACATGTGACTGCAAAGGTACTACAAAATTTTTTTTTTCATTAATCATTTACACTGCGTACATATCATCAATAACAGGTTTTTACAAAGACAACTGCATATGCTATACATATATGTGCTCTCTCTTTTGGGGGAAAACCTTCTGGATTTTTTGCCCATAACTGCTACAGTTAACTCTAAAAGTTGGTTTATAGAGCTGTTACTCGTGAGTTGAGCACAGTTTAACGATGCCCGAGAGAGCCGAGCTCAGCTCAGATTTGTTATATACATAAAAAACAGCTTTTAAGGTCACAGTTCTCAAAAAAGTAGACCAATATTATGAATATGCTCATTTGTGTCTCAGCACACTGCCTGTCCCCCAGATTCTGAAGGATTTTGCTGACGAGCCTGCTCATTTAAATGAATGTGTGCAGGTATTTAACTGCTGGACCAGGACACCAGTCCTTGAGAAATGTTTCACTTCCCTCAGTAGAGGCACGAAAGAACAAGACAAAGACAGAAGAAATGTACTGACTGGATATATAAAGACAACAGAATCAAGAGTTGTACCTATAGATTTTTATGGAGGTTCCCCAAAAGTGAAAACTTACAGCAACTAACAAGATCACGACTCAGTCCGGTCTGGGTAGCTCTAACAACAATCAATAAAACGAACGTTTTTGGCTCAATAGTAAAAGTGGAAAACGTGCCCTCCTCTTTCTTCCCTTAGATCTGAGGCTCTATAATTGCTTGCAGATTCGTTTTACATTTATCCGGTTTCAGCTTCCTGTAGATTGCCTTTTCACTGCAGACAAGATAAAGTGCATGTGAAACGTGATTAAAAACAAACAATGTTTCCCCGCAGCCTTTACCCATCTGATCCGACTGACCTGAGTAAATATATAATGAGTTCCTTGTGTGTATGTTAAGCAAGAACATATTAAACAGGGAGACTGTTGAACTATGTGTTAAGGAATGTAACATCAAAGTATGTTTAAATAGACCTTCACTTCAACTATAGTAAATCCTCAGAGACAGGAGCTGATGTGACTAACATTTAAACTGTGACTCACAGAAAGCAGCTCTAGACTTAATATAAATAAATAAAAAATATATTTAGATCTAAAATAACCCTGCTGTCTTCCTTTTCATTGTATAAGTGAGTCAAAGCTTCAAAATATGTTGTTTTTGATGCTAGTAGAGGTTTATATTTATATGATAAAACAAAGAGAACCCATTTGCATTTTTCATTGACGTTACAGTTCAACAATTTGCTTTGTTTTCTATCGGGGTGTATTTTGCTAAAATATGGTTAGAAAATGCACAATATCCCAATTTAAAGATGCAACTTGCATATTAATTTTTAAAGACACTATTTCAATACTTTCATTGAGCTCCCTGTTTTTCTGTTATTTCAAAAGACAAATCTTGAATCTTGAATATGATAATTAAGCTTGAATGTAAAGATAAACTTGTATTTCCTATTAGGTCCTCCTCTCCCCCTGAGATTTGTGACAGACTTAGATTAGTTTTTGCACCGAATCAGAGTTTACCTTGTACATCCTGACAGCTAACAATGTTGTGCAAAACGCGCATATGACATTTTTTCTCATTAATATCACAATTGTGTCATCTGAGCTAATGCTAGGTGACAGTGTGGAGGAAGATGTCTCCCCTTGACACGGAACCATTTTAAATCTCACATTTGAATTGATTGGATTCAAAGGAAACATGAATAAGATGAACCTCATAATCCCATTTTATGCATTCATTGGTTGAGAGAAGGAGCAGGGCAGCTCAATGACAGTATTTTCCTTCTGTCTCTATAGGTGAGAATGATGTTGTGCTGGGGCAGCTGGGTGAAGGATCGGAGGATGCCCGCTTTGTGCCTCTGGATTTTGAAGAGCCAACTCTTGAATTATGCAGCCCATGCACCCCCTGCACTCCTTGCAGCCCCTGCTCCTTAGCGTCATCCATTGTGGTTCACATCTCAGAGGAAGAGCGGCATAAATATGAGGAAGAGATCCGCAAGCTGTACAAGCAGCTGGATGATAAGGTGATGACAGCAGCAAGAGGATAGTCAGGGAATGAATGCGGAGCTGATTACACACCGTGTGTGAGATGCAGTAACATGCATGCAGCCACTCAGAGTACATCAGAGTACAGAGAACATTTAAGGGGTGATTTATTTACAGTAGCGGCTATTAGTGAAGGATATCACTGAGGCAAAGTAGGTGTAATTTATTTTGAAAAGCTTAGCCTTAAATTAACATATTTTTCTTGCATTCCATTTTACAGTTTGTAGAGTCTAGTTTGAAGTTCAGCACTTATATTTTTGAATTAATTTATATTTTTTCTTCCCTTTTGCACTTTTCTGTATTAAGTACATGATGTTTAGATGTTTTTTTTTCCGATATCCATCCCATACTGTGCTAAACTCTTGAATTTACTTCCTCACTTTCACTTCTACAAAGTTTTCTTTCCAAGAAACCTGACTTCTTAAACAGCCTTGATCAAAACTTCATCAGGCTTTTTGAGTTAAGTCTTTTAAGTATTTTTCTTTTTTTTTTTTTTTTACACTTACTGCTTCTCTCCCTCTAATTTTCAGCTTGATGCATGACCATTTCACATATTCCTTTATTCTTTTTTAATGATTTATTCTGGAATAAAAATCTCTCAAACTGAAGAGATTTGTTGTGTCTACCGGTACAAAAAAACGGGCATCCTAAATGGGCTCTTTGTGGTCTTAAGGATATTTATGTACTTTAATCAAATAAAAAAAAATGCTTCTGAAAGTGACATTAATGATTCATCTCTCACTTTATCTCAGGCCTTACTATTCAACCTTTAAGGTCTTATTTTGCTCTTTTCTACCAACATTGTACCATTTGTTACTTTGATAAAGCAAATTATATTGCTGAGAAAATCAGCATCACCCTTGAAGATTGCAAGAAAGTTTGGTTTCTTGGAAACAAGAACTAAAAGAAATTAGGAATGTCCAGTCTGGACGATCTCTGAACTTTGACATAAAGAAAAAACAACCAAACAGGCATGTGTTTCTAATATTACACTCTGTGTTAAAAGGCTTAATTTTATTTTATTTATCCATCACACGTCTAGAAACACTTTGTTTTTTAAATTACTTTTTAAAACCCAAAGTTGTAATTACAACTTTGAGCGCAAGTTGTAATTGCCTGCTTGTGTTCACCCACTGAACCCAGAAGATTCTGGTGTACAGTCATAAAAACATACAAATTAATCGTTTCTATTCCACTGAAGGACGACGAGATCAACCACCAGAGCCAGATGGTGGAGAAGCTGAAGGAGCAGATGCTCGACCAGGAGGAGGTAAAACATCTTGGTTTTTACATCCTTTCATCGGTTCGCTTTAAACAGCTCACAGTGGGCCGTCGTTTCTGCGAACGTGCCAACGTGAATCACAGTTCAAGCAGAAGTCAGCTGTGAGAGGGTTTACCATCCTGCCCTTGAGATGAATGAGCTGGAAAAACAACACATTTCTGCTGCCAAAAAGGAGATAGAGTAAATGAGACTGTGGTCGCTGATCAGTAAGTATATTTATGCTAACTGGAGTTTGAAACACAACCTTTTAAACTCCAGGGCAAACACAGATGAAAGGCTGCAGCTCACCATAAACTCCTTGGAGTTCATTTTTCTTCAGTTACAAAATGTTTTTGAGTTAGTTGCTTTTTCAGCCAGTAAAATATTTTTTGCCAATAAGTAAAGAAGGAAATAACTTGTGAGATATTTTCAGGGCTGGAACGTTGATAAGTAAAATTTGATTAATAAAGCAACTAAATTGCAAAGAAAGATTATTAATAGTGTGAATCTCATAGCTTTCTTTGCACAAATTGCTGCATCAATGCAACATAGCATGGAGATGATCAGCCTTTAAGTCTTTTTAGGTATTAAATTCAGGTTGCTTTGATGGCAGCATTCAGCTTGTCTGCGTTGTTGGATCTGCTGTCTCACCTTTCTGCAACCCAGAGATTCTTTTTAGGGTACAGGCCAGTTTTCTAGCTAATAAAAAAACACAGAAACCACAATCATTAAACTGGCATTGGTACTTTTCCCCTGAGGGCCAAGTCCTGCTGGAAAATGAAAAACGGCTACTGTGTCTATGGACACATCAGTGGAGCAACACCAGCAAATAGCGTGGTTCCCCAAATCATTACTTTACCAACCTCATACTGTTGGCATTTTTAGGTTAGATAAGGACTTGCAGTTTGGTGAAGCAGAGATTTTAATGAGTAAAAACAGAAACGTACAGCTGTCAGTCCAGGAGCATCAAAACAAATCTGCAGATAAATAAAAGGCATTGGACACAGGCACAGGCTGAGACCCAGTAGGCTAACCAACATAGAACCAGGGCAACAAACAGAGAAAATTGGGAATCTAGCAAGGAAAGAATGAGAAAGATAGTTAATGTAAAAAAAGTGGAATCTACATTTTCTACATTTGGACATTTATGTCCCATAACAGCCCTACTGTGAGCTGATTTGCCACAATTGTAGCTACCAAATCAGAGACTTTGCAGCATAATGACCATTTGTCCAAACAAAGGCTGTGAGCTTGTGTAAATATACTGAAAACCCAGGAGGAGCAGCATCTACATTTTATGACGTGTCATTCAGGGAGATGACTCTCAGTGGGCTGCAGCAGAATAACAAAAGCTGGTGGCAAAATAAAATGACCTCTCTCTTTGTGCAGTGATATTCTGAGGTGAATACTTTAAATAGGAATAATCTGTTCACCTGCATTGCATTGCAGTCTTGTAAAGACATTTATTTTCTCTAGAAGATAGGCCGTTGTGTTTTGTTAAAAAGTAGTCCTTTGCATTTTTTCTGTTTTATTTCTACACGTATTTTTTTCTTTTATGGAGCTCTTATATATAGTTAAACCTCCTTACCTTTCAGCTTTTAGCTTCGTCCAGGGGAGACAGCGAGAAGGTGCAGTCAGAGCTCGGCAGGCTGCAAGCGGAAAATGAGTCTGCTAAGACTGAGGTGAAGGAGGTGCTTCAGGCTCTGGAGGAGCTGGCTGTAAACTTCGACCAGAAAAGCCTGGAGGTCGAGGAGAAAAGCATGCAGAACAAGGTGCTGGCTGAAGAACTTGGAAAAAAGATGGTGAGTCTGAGTTTCTCTAGTAGTGTTGCTGCAAGTATTTCATCCTGCAAAGTCGAAAAGGGATGTTGCGGAAACAAATCTGTCACAAAGTCACTTGCTGAATATATATTGTGAAATTTCTGAATGAAGTTAAACGGGCATTGAGGAAATTAAATTTCAAAAGTAAACAAAGAGAAGAGAGAAATTATGACACCAGGACAAACACTCCTAAGAGGTGACATTCATCCTGGATATCTGAAAACGCTGTCAAGTGCAACCAAAGAGGCCAGTTACTGACTCTCCTGGACAGCCTGTTGATCAGTACAGCTATAATCAACAAGACATTTCTAACCGAGTTTCTTGCTTTTTTAAAGTAAAACAGGAGCTGATGCATGTTTTACAAGTTGCTTTTAATACGTTTCTTTAACCTCAAAGAAAAAACAAAATCACTTCTGATTTGACTGGGCTTTCAACAATATGTGGTTGGCATAGTGATGTAAATCTGTCATTCATTATAAACCATGTAATTAAAATAAATATGATGCCTATGTCCTAACCCTTGTTTTCTAACTTTGTCTTGATTTTCATTTTTTTAAAGCGATTTTTTACAAGTTAGCATAGCTGATTTTGTTTCTGAAATAACTACATCACAGATAAACACATGTATAAAATAGAATAAAACTTAAGACAAATGAAAGAAGACATTCAAAAGTATTTTCTTAGCAGGTTTAATGTGACTTATTAAAGATGAAAGTGGATTATAGCATAGAAAGGCACCTCAAGCGAAAAACAAGCATTAATGTTGATAGAGTGGCCCAGCAGAGGAAGCAAAGCCTTAATTCAGTTATTATGACCTACTTTGTGAACCGAGTGAACCCTTCGCCGCCGTATTAAAGCCTCTTCAATATTTCATACTGTTTTACAGTCTGCCAGACGGCCATCACTTCTATCCCTGACTTTCTCAGAAACCAATCCAAGAACTGATGAAAGGAGCTGACAACGTAACGACGCTGTGTGCAGTTCAGTTCAAACTCAGCTGGCACTGCAATTTGTCCCCAATCATTTCACTTAGCACAACTTCTCCTTTACGCTGTGCTTTGTCGATACCTCTCAGCTGACAGGGAGCCGTCACAGGAACATCTGCCTGCAGTCTGATAGACGAATACATGGCATAAAAATGACTTTACTTCACAGTGACAAAGCTTTTCCTCAGCTTCATTCTGCATTCTTAGGACAACTTTTTGCTTTTATGACTGCACGGCTGAAAGTTTGCTGAGCAGATATAAAAAGCATGACTGAGTGGCGAACATCTGCCATTTGACTGTCTCCTTGGTTTCCTTCAGCTAAAACTCCTCTTTTCTTCTGCATGTGGCCATCGCTCAATGTCACTGCCTTTCATGCGCTCCTTCATGCACCTTCTTCCATCCATCTAGCCACTTAAGCTCTTTGCTATCAGTTTCATTTACTCTATCCATCACTTCAACAGGCTTCTCTTGACTATCTTTTCATAAATCTTTCTTTAGATAAGCTGAGTAGTTTTATTACCCTTTCCATCTTCATTCTTTTTTATTTATTCATGAAGAAATAATCTGGGGTTAATGATTTACTGCCATGTGCTCATAAGTTGGAGTTTGCCTGGAGAGGCGACCTTTAAAGGATAACAACGTTACGTTAATGGGGGATATGAAGACTAAACAGCCGAGATTGTGGATTTTCACCATTTGCATGGTGATGGGCATAACATCGGGTTGAGTAGATGGCATGCTGGTTTTAAAGGCCTATAGATGCACAATATTTTAAGTCAAGCAGGAATGGTATCACCCCCCTCGACTATGTAGTGTGTATTTGCTAAATAAAGTCAGTTTATTTTTACTTGCTCACACATTTGTGTCGTAAGCTGCTAACAGCAACAAACCCTTTGTAGTAATTAATTGCTATAGATAGAAACATATAAATATATCCATTAGCTGCGTTTCATACAACTGAAGAGAGAGGCTCCTCACCTCACAGCTTATAAGCCGCCTAGTCTGCAGGCAGAAAAAGAGCAAGCCCAATGTGGTCGACAAAGCAACACAAGGCATTAAAAAATAACTGAATTTACTCAGAAAAAGATGGGGAAAAAAAGTGAATGTGAGCCGGTGTGTTTTTATAAACAGGAGGCACTCTTTCAGTTGTATTAAGCAGAGATGTGCCCTTGTTTTCACATGTGCTTATTCTTAGTTAAGCCTGGTTGACATAATAAAATAATCATGCCAAGTTCTCACTTGATCTTTCCGTTTCAACAATCTTATAAATGTCCCGATTATCATGATGACTCTAAAGATAATCTTAGGAAATATTTCTGCTGTCTGCTGTGTTAAGAGTCACTTTGTCTACTCAGAAGGAGTCTGGGAACGCTCTAGTCTTGAATCGGGGATGTAGTTCAATATGTTGTGAGGTGTGTGAGGTGTTCCCTGAGGACAAACACATCACATGTTAAATGTGATGTGCAGAGAGTCAGAAAGTGAGGTGACAGAAACACAGAGAGGAATCAAAAACAAAGAAGACAAACAACTGCGATGGTGCCAAAAATAGTGCACAACCTATCTCCATTGCATCTTACTTTTTGGCCTTGTTTGTGTTCTCTGAACTTATGTTTGATACCATGAGATTTTGCTAAATTTCCTGTCTGACATTTGAATGTTTGTGTGTGTGTGCGTGTGTGTATGTAGGTGTGTGTGAGTGTGTGTTTGTGTGGGGTGTGTTGTCTTCGATGTGTGGCTCTGCACCAGACACTGTTGGACCAAACCGGTTAAACCTATAATTATTTGTCGTTATGTGTATGGCCTCTCAAGGTATGAAAATAAACTGAGAAATTTAAAATCCTGCTGTATGAGCAAGGTATCAGGAACAATAATATATTTGAATAAATAATTAATCTATAAATCAATTCAATAAATAAAATAGATTAATTGCAGTTTATTACCGCTAGTTTAGACAAATTATGGCTTATAGTCAATGAAAACTTCAAAGTACATTTTTCAAATAGTTGAAAATGCTGTACATAACATCAATAACAATTATTTATTTTGAAAAAAAATTTTATACAAAATAGCCATGTGATGGCCTCCACAATGACGGGGAGGAATGCTGAGCCAGTTTTCTTGCAGACAGTCATTGAAGTGCCTCACAAAGTGGAAGCCAGAAAAGGTCAAAGCTGAACAAGGTGGCTTTTCACAGACTGCTGTATCCAGGCATTATTAAATGAAAGCTGGCTGGAGGGAACAAGCGTGGTAGAGAAAGGTCCACAAGTAACAAGGATAACAACAGCCTTAAGAGGATAGAGAAACAAAATCCACTCAAGAATTTGTGGGAAGATTAACAAGGCCTAGAGTCAGAGTTTCAAGAGCCGCCTCACACAGACTAATCCAGGACACGTTGTCAACGCCGACGTAGAAGCAGGAAATTTTAGACCATTTCAAGTTTCCTTCGACAGACAAGCTTTATGGAAATTCAGATTTCATTTGCTAGAAGGACTTGGCACCTTCCCAGTCTGTCAAAAATCACCAGTACCTGAATTAATCATAATATTATTGTGTTTGATTAGTCTGCAAGCTGGCTTAAGCTAAACTGTGTCAAGAAGAAAGATGAGAGGAACCAGACTCAATAATACCGATAAGCTGAAGCTGTTATTAAAGCGTTATTAACACTACAGCAGAGCCGCAGGCTGCAGGAAATCACAGGATGCAGAAATTTAAAAATAGCCCCAAATATTGACTGTGTATACAGTATACTACACAACCAACATTTCTCTATTAAGTTTATTTGTTTTCCTATATAATTCAGACATTTTCTGGAAAAACTTAGTGGTTCATTCTTATTACATTAGGTCATGATCATCATAATCAACGCTTTGAAATACATAATTCTGTGACATAAATTAGGTTTTGGTGCTAATATGAATCATGTAAATGACATACAGTTCAGACATGCAGTCATCTGCAATTTCTTTGCTAATGTCAAGTGAGATCAGATCAGTTGTTGTCGTCTAGATAGTTTAGTCCAGTCTTTGTTCTTCTTGATTAAATGCCAGTTATAAAACTGCATCTTAGATAGAAAAAACAAAACAACAGCAATAAAACATGCAGCACATTTTATTTGAGTCAGTTCAGATCCTTCAGATTCACCCCAGACAGTTTTCCAACCCATCATAGGGCAACACAACCGCACACACAAATGCATGGTTATAAAATTATCTTACAAATAAATATCTGAAATGTGTGGCGTGAAATTATATTAAACTACTATTTTCTGTTAAAAAAAAAGGTTTAAAATGTTGTGTATAATTTTATGCATTACTTTGTGTTGAGCTGTTCTAAAAAATCCCAGTGAAGTTTGAAGTTGCTATGTATCCAAATGAGGAAAAGGTGAAGGCTGAATATGTTCTCTGCATACAAAATGTAGGACCAAGTGTTCTCTAAATAGTTGGATATTGCATGAATACAGGCATGTTTTCACACTTTCATGAATCATTTGAACTCGCATAAATAATAAAACGTCAGGTTTGCTGACAAACATTGCTGGCAATATTTCATTTTTTCCCTGTATTTTAGGAATGAAGCATCTGTTTAACACTGCCTGGCAACTTTTGCTGTTTATGCTTGGCACATGGATATTTTTGCATCTCAACAGATGGAGAAAGAGAGAGAGCACTCCAGACTGATAAATGTTGGCATCAAGTGATAGCTAGGTAGTGTTTCACATATTCAAATGCTTTTTTCCCCCCTCTAAGTCAGGGAGGTTCAGGAGTTGCTTGATGGAGGTGTTTAATGACAATCTATCAGGAGAGTGAAGAAGATTAACATACAGAATCAGATTATAGAGATTTACTTGCTTTCTTTAAACTACTCAAACAAGATCCTTCAAACATGCAAACCAAAGCAGCTGAGCAGAAACCTTAATCACCAAATACTAGGCAGTAATAACGATCCCACAGTTCAAAAAAAGCAAACTGAATAAATCCTTATGACAACAACCTTGATCACATTAACTATATAACCATCTCACAGGTGCAGATCTAAAGTAATGAATTAACAGTGCAAGTGCAGGTTATACAAGAGCTTCTCTAAGGATGTAAATCCTTCTGCCTTCAAGTTAAATTAATGCAAATCTGCACTTCTTTAAGTTCTTTGAGACAGATAAAGGTTTAAAGACGTAAACTTTAAAAAGCTCCTCTGTTTATATTTTTCTAGAATGAAATCCTTTTTCTCGAGCACATGTCCTCTATTTGCACTCACTGCCTCCACATTCCTCTGTGTCTCTTCCAACAGTCTCACCTCAGGGCTTTAGAGGCAGAGCTGTCGCGCATCCAAGAGGTGAGCAGCCACCAAAGAAAACGCATCGCCGAGGTTCTCAATGGCCTCATGAGGGACCTACGCGAGTTCAGCACTATAGTTGGGAGTCGGGAAATCAAGCTGGTGAGAAACAAATAATAACCGTGTTTATGGCTCAAATGATGGCTTTTTGCAAGATCTGTTGAGTCTTTCTGAATTTCTAGTTTAGAATACCATGTTATTGGCACCTCAATGCAAAAATTATATTCTTTACGTTTGTGAAATGGAAGAGTGGATCTGAATTTGCTGAAGTACATGCCTGTTCTGAATAGGTTTGTTTCCACGTGCTGAATAAAAAACCTCACCTTTTCAATCGTGAGTAATCACTAGATCCAAGAAGCTACTCAAATTGACCTTGCAGGAAAAACAGCAGAGGTGCATCTCAGAAAATGTGAATATTTAAAAAGTTCCTCACTCATTTATATTTTTATTTGTAAAGCATTTTGAAAAACGTATTAATTTTCCTCCAGTTCATAAATATACTCTGTATTGTGCTGGTTTGTCACATAAAATTAGATTAATTCGATTTTACTTAATTGATGGTTATAACATGACAAAATGATGTTCGCTGAAGTACGACTCAGACATGCTAAAATTACTTACAAAGAGCATTTTATGGACCTTTGCAGTAGAATCAGTAGGATCTGAGACATTTATATTGATGTGTACAGTTCTCTAATCCTATACAGTCCACTCCTAACCAGCTGAGTCACAGCATCTGCTAAATTATGCTCTTAATCAAATGTTTATGTGCAAAACATGCCAGAAAAAGTCTTTCCTTTTCCTGCCTCTTCTTCCTATAATTTCCCAGCCATCTTTAAATTGTCGCCACTCAATCTTGATAAAACATTGACTCTGCTAGTTTTTCAACAGCCTCTCCTGCTGTGTGCCTTATTTATCTCCAGCCTGTGGAGATCACTGGCGCGATCGAGGAGGAGTTCACGGTGGCTCGGCTCTACATCAGCAAGATTAAGTCGGAGGTGAAGTCCATGGTGAAGCGCTGCCGACACCTGGAGAACCTTCAAACAGAATGCAACCGAAAGATGGAGGAGACGAGCAGAGAGCTGTCGTCATGCCACCTCCTCATCTCACAGGTGCAGATCTGAAGTAATGAATCGGTTGTTGTTTGTTACCGAGGAGACAAAGAACATCCGGATGAGAAAAGAAGAGTGTCAGGCATAAAAATACTGGTGTTATTGTCGGAAAATGAGGAGAACAGATATTAGAACCTCAAATAGCACATTACCGATGATCATCATCATTATCTTTCAAGCACACTCTTCTATCAGTTTAATTATCGTTTAGCATAGTGGGCCATTGTGAGGACGAAATTACTCTGATGAAAGGCAATTCATTGTGGAGATTTTCAGATGCTTTTTAGATCTCACACCCTTATTTGTTCATGCAGTCCTGATTCTAAAATGTGGCATATTTTATATTCTGTCTGTGACTGAGGCTGCCTTGAGGCATCAGGAGGTAAATTTTACTATCTTTGGTGTTTAAACTAAATTCCCTAATGACTGGGGCTCATAAATATTTAATGTCAGTACATTCATTCAGCTTAGAAGGAGAATTCCTCATCTTTAGTGCGGGGTTCTCATGGGTAAAGGTTTGGGGTTTTCTATTCATCTTCAGACTTTGTGATTCACGTTGTGACTTCCAGCATGAGGCAAAGATTCGCTCTCTGATGGATTGCATGCAGAATGTGGAGCTCAAGAAGCGACAGCTGGAGGACAGCTATGATTCTCTGACTGAGGAGATGGCCAACCTCAGAGCTCAAGGTACAGCTGAGTATTACCTGAATCCCTGTGACTTAAAATAAAAAAAATATCATAAACATGATACGGGCTCTGACAGCCCGTATCAAAGGGCCCGGAGAACCCCCCACAAAGCCCCCACTAGAGACACGGTCGAACGCCTTCCCCAAGTCCACAAAACACATGTAGACCGGTTGGGCGAACTCCCATGCACCCTCCAGGACCTTGCTGAATGTGTAGAGTGTGGTTTTCGTCCACGACCAGGACGAAAACCACACTCAGCATGTTCCAAGTGAGAAACAACTGCCCTGTGTGTAAAATGCTCTTAAAATGGCAGAAATTAAGTGTTTCCTTGCACTCATGATGGTTTCTAGCTTCTAATTTCTGAAAGTAGGTAGCTTGGTTGCTGATTACAACATTTGGCAAATTTTACTGTTTTTCTAACTTGTAGGTGTAAAACAGTAAATTTGGTGAGTCATTTTGAAATCCTTTATCTGGCTTTCTTGGCAAATGAAATGCAGCTTAAAGTCCAAAAATGGACCTAAAATCTTTGATAAGCTGCTACTTTCACAACATCTTTAAAAACTCTTAAGTCGGTCAAAATAGTGAATGTGACTTAAGTTTTTGTAGTGCTTTGTTTTTAACTAATCAACTTTTAATAAGTCATTTGTGAATTGTGTTTGACAAAGTGAGCACTCTGCTGTTAGTGAAACAAGAGAAGATCCTGTTCAGCTGAAGCTGACCTATCAGCATATGTCCAAAAAAACACCTACTCACCTAAAATAGGAGACATTTACTGTCAGAACAATAATCACAAAATTATTTACAGAAACATCACTGCGTCCTTATCCCATAATATCTTGTTTTTTATCTGGACTATGTGGTGCAACAAGCCATAACTCACCCCCTCATTAACCAATATCTCTAGTAAGAATGAATCACATTAAAAAAAATTAAAAAAGTCTGTGTATGAAGTTTTTGAGAGCTCTTACATTTTTAAAGGACTACTTTAAAAATATATCTGAAAAGATTTGATTTCAATCTGAAATTACATTTAGGATTTTTTTCACTCGTCAAAAAAAAAGCTGTAGGGTGGCTGCCCAGACACTAATTTAATCTTCCATTTAGAGGCAAACTGGAGGAGAAGGTTTATCAACTGTCTCACTGGTTTCTGCCAAGGCAGAAAGTAGCTGCCATGGCTGCGGATGTGGAGTGGCACCGGCATTGTCTGAACCCATGGCTCTGCGTTATTAGTTTGGTTAATGACTAGCTCATATCCTCATTAATGATTCTGCCTCTAAACATGATGTGTTTCTTTATGAGCAATGATGATTGGCTTAGCTGAACATGGCATTAGACCTTAGGCAACCCCCTCTTCATTCAGTATTTCTAATCTATCAGACTGTGAGCCATTTCTTAACACTGTTTACAGAGCAGAATAGTAGCTGAAGTAAACGAATTCGGATCATAGCAAATGTAAATTACTCTCAATGTAAAGCCAGCTAACTGAAACAGGACTCCTTCCAAGTTATATACGAAATGCAGATGAGGTTCTGAATCGCTTACACCAACTTGTTTTTGCACCAACAATTTTACTGTAAGCCATTTTTATTCCTCATTCTGACGCATTGCTTGAACTTAATCAAGTCATTCACCACATCTAAATGCCAAAAAGCACTAAGTTGCTGCCAGGTGACTAAGCTGATTACTCTTTGTGTTAAAACACAATGGAACATGTTCACCAAATGAAGTGGAGGATTGGTGTATCTACGAACTCTGAACTGGTGGGTCTGACTTCTAGCAAAAAATAAAAGAGAGTGATTTAGGAGAGAAACCAGGTGAAGTACAACACTTAGCAAGACATATTACAAAGTCTGATCAAATAAAACATCTATTTATGATTAGAAAAAAAACATTAAAAGGTGAATACATCAATGTTGCAAGAAGCAACAAATCTTTCATCCTCTGGGAAGAAAACTTATCCTTGTTTGGTGTAAATATTAAACGACGTTGCTTGACATTCCATGTTTCTCCTGTGAAGGACGAAGGACTGCTCCAGTTTGCAGATCATGATAAATTGCAGACAGTTGCCAAAGTCAAACGTTAAGGTCAGCGTTCTGAAACAGTCAAAAGTAATCCCGTCTCAGCAAAATTAATGACCAGGAAACAACAAAACAATCTGTGTTTCGTTGCGACCAAGGTGAATTGTGGAGGAATCGACTTCCTGTTAAAAACTGTTGTTTGCTTCAGTGGAGCATTTTATGCTGTCACTGTTTTTTTTTTATGTTGTTGAGGACAAGAAAAATAAGGCTAAATAAACATTTCCCTTGTCCAGGACAAAAAGATTAATGGAACATTTGAAATGCATGCAGGGCGCAGCTAGCTGCTGCTGCTGCTACTCCCAGCGCTCTGACACAATTCACAAATCAGGCTAGAGGCAATGTAAATCGTTCTTTCTTTGGTTTCCCAGAGAAGTGAATTAAATAACCAGTGGGTTTAAGAACTTGTAAATTCATTTTGGTTGTACTCAATAAGCCAGGCAGACGGGGACAGAAGCAGTTGACAAATACAAAGTCCATGTTGATTGCATTGCCTGGAGCAAGGTGCAGAGCTCAGTGCTTTCATCATCAGACAGCAGGGAGTCAATATCTGGTTAGCGTGACCCAAAGATTTAATTTACAACTATATATTTTCCTAATGAAAGCACGACTGATGTCAGCATGAGTATCCTTTAATGATTGGCTATCAGGTCACAGTGGGAATAAAACTATTATGTGACTCACATTGTCACCATGTCAACATCCTTTCTTGTGTTTTCTTCTGTTTTCTCACACTCTTTCCTTTGTCATCTGATCTAAAACTGCTTGTTTCAGAAAGCATGTCACAGATGACCAATGGGGAAAACAACACATCTGTCCAGAATCTGTCTGACATGAAGGTAACTATGACTACCGTAAGAGCGATTTCATACACTATGCTTTTTATTGTTACAGCACCTCGGCACTTGGGTAAATCCAGGTGTTAAAGTATTTTTTCCGTTGAGCCATGAATCCACACATCATGGTGCATTCTTGTATTTTCCAGCACCGGAACAAACCAAATTTTGAAGTCACTTCAAACAGAGGAAGAAACTATTCCTTTGGTTTCAGGGCAGTTTGGATAAATTTGACGAAAGATAGAAATTGTAATTGAAGTTTTTTTGTTTTTTTTTCAGTCCTGTTAAATATGAAAAGGCATCTGAAGTATGGAGAAATATTTGTATTTTTTACTCTGCTAACATGCATCTGGCCAATTTGGTCAATGGTCACTTTATTAGTTACACTTTGCTAATTCCAGGATGGACACCTATTCACTTTCAAAACGGTCATGATTCTTCATATTATGAATTCAACAAATCTTTTAAAAGTGATAGCATCACGATTTGTCAGCTGCACATCCTGGAATTTGATTTACATATATTCCAGGTTTGGAAATACACAAATAAAACCGAGTACAGAAAAAAAAAACTGCTTTTAAAGTTATATTCTATGCTCCACTGACAAAATTTTGCATCCATCCATCTTGAAGAAGGGCCCAGAATGGATGATGAACTTTGCTCATTTGACCCTGGAACAGAGAGGAATTTTGTCCTCACTGTTGTGGGAACCGTATAAAGCTGTTGTCTTTGAGGTGGAAAGTATCGGTGATGTTTTTACTTAGATTTGTATTCATGTGAGTGTTTTTGTCTCCGCGCTCCAGCTTCATTAGCTGTGTCCTAAATCAGTTTCAGTGGCAGTGTATTGACACTGGTTGTGCTGTGTTCAATGCCTAGAGAGCCTTTCAAGTTCACATCTGCACAATGTGTGTAATTTCTTTTCCCCTGGTGTTTAGCTGTTTGCCCTTTCCTCCCACGTCATGTTGCTCTCTCTCCTTTGAGAGGAAGTGTTTGCACTCACTTTATTGGTCTTTTTTTCGTTCTTGTTGGCGACTCCTCAGAGAGCTCTGGAGGAGCAGATGAAGTCGCACCGTGAAGCCCAAAGCAAGCAGCTCGGCCGCCTTCGAGACGAGATCAACGAGAAACAGAAGACCATTGATGAATTAACAGAGTTAGTACTTCTTTCAGTTTACTTTAATACGCATTCAAATTTCACTTTTACTCCTTTGATAACAAGACAAGAACATACAAAGGTGAACATAAAGTTTTTCTTCTTTTTTTTTTTACCAAATAATGTCCATCATACTTAACATTATTTTTGAGGCTGTTTTGCATCTCAGGCATTAAATGTTTTCTAAAACATGCAAGTGAATACATAAAAACTAAATAAATGTGCATTCTGAGTTTCACAAAAAATTTTGAAATATAAATCCATACTTCCTTCTATCAACCGACTATGTAGCTGAGGGATCACAGGGAAACTCAGACATCCAGATAGTGACAAGTTCCCTTCTCTGATGGGATGAACACGCACTTTAGTGTTAGTTCCTGGTCTGCTCTGGTGTTTTCCTGCAGTGGTATGTGCCTGGATTCCCTCCAATGCAGCATCCGCATTACTGCAGGCACCCAAGAGTGCTCCTTATGTAACTGGACCAGCTCAGATGACTTCTTAAGAAGGAATGGAGCAGCGGCTCTCCTCCAAGCTGCCCACCTGGCTGACCTCCTCAGTTTACAGGCTGAGCCCAACCATCATACTGTGGAAGCTCATTTCAGCCATTTGCATCCTGGATCTATGTCTTTTCTCACCATGGTGGATGGAGGCATTTGCACCAGAGCAAGTTAGGTCCTAATCCATCTATCATCAATATGGATCAATATGGAGGAAGGTGTCATCATTTTCTTTCTCTTTGAGAACCGTTTGATTAGGATATGAAGAACTGACTTCAGCAGCTTCACTCTGCTGCAAACCACTCCAGTGGCTCATCTGCACAAAGTAAAGACGAGACCTTAAGGTTTAATCCTAGGAACAAGCTGGACTTTGTGCCAAATTTATTGGCACTCCACTTGGTTGAGGTCAGGGACCCAAATCCAGTCCCCAAGAGCTATTTTCCTGCTAATTTTAGTTTCATCCTTTCTGCAGCATATCCTAATCAAATGAATTGATTGTTACCTGGCCTCGGTGGAACTGAATGACTGTTTATAAAGGAAATCAGCCTTTAGTTCAAGTTGTTAGGAGAAGGAGTGGAATATAAGGTTGCTCCCAGATGCACCAAGCTGTCCCTAAAAGGTATTTCCACAGAACAGATGTGGGCCATTTGTTACCAAAACCTGTCATGCTAGAGTTATGACAAGCTACGCAATGATAATATTAATTAGCAAATCTCCTTGTGTTCAATATTTGAATTTTCACCAGGTTAATTTGGGTTTAATATCAGTCCCTGATATAGATTCAAATTGTTGAGGTATACTGTATATAAATTTAAAGATTTGAAAATCTTAAAATTCTGTTTTTGTTTGCATCTTCTTTCCCAAACTAACCACTATCAATTAGAAGGCAAACTTTTCAAACAGCATAGATTAAATAATTGTAGCTGAATTCTCAGAAGATCTAAGCCATCACTACAAGAGATAAAGACGTGGGAGGCAAACAAAGCTGAGGAGTAGGAAGACATTAGAGCTTAGCTGCTTCTACCAAACCTCCGCATGAAGAGCCACTGCTCTGACTCAGCCTAAATGTGAAAATAGCTGTCCCTTTAGGTGCCTGAAACTGACGATGTACTATACCTAGCATGACCGCCCAGAAGGAGACCGCCGGCCAGGCTGCAGACCCCATCAAAGAACTGAAGCACACATCCCAGCTGGCCTCACAGTAACCCGCTACCACCAAAAGAAGAGATGTGAAGAATTTTTGCGTGAACACACATTTGGTACAGATCTGCTTATCCTGCTTTCACAGTCTGAATTTGGATAACCAGCTTGGAATGGATTGATGGGTGTTATTGAGGCCGAACGGATGTGAAAGAGAGAAAAAAAAAGAGACTCCCTGCAGATCCTTTTATTAAAACAGGGGCAAGTTGGTGCACAGTTGTCTTTTTTTTTTGTGTTTCGTATTTCGAAGATGAAAGGATTAGAGAAAAAAGGGAACACCTTCAGATAAAAGGGGCATATTAAGATGTGTAAAAAAGTTTACTGGTAAATATTTTCTAATACTGGGAAGGGAATTTTAGTAGTTTAATGTTGACCTGATTCTATCCAGGGGCCAATCAATCAGCTCCTGTTTGCTGTCAAAGTGCCCGTCAAGGGTATGAAGCACTGCTGTGAATTTTAATCTTCCCACCACCAAAAACTCATTTTTGCTGGTTATCACTAAACTGAGCCCAGAAGTGCCTCAGACCATGACCAGAGCAGTTATTTTCTCATGTGATGCAAAGACATGTGGCAACGCCAAGCAAAATGTTTTACCTTAAAATGGTCAAGGAATATCTTGGAACAGATGCACTGCATTTCAGATCCCTTCAGCTTTTGCCTGTTTGTGTCTCTTAAATCCATGATTTAACTTGAGGTGTCAATACTTTTTCATATGAGACCAATCAGCATGTTAAAACTGTTTTTTGTTTTGTTTTGTTTTTACTACGGCTATCTTTGTCTGATCATAAATGTATTTGATCTAAAAAAAACCTAACTGCAGCAAGAAAGTAAAACAAGTTTGTAAGGAGGTACATGCATTTTCACAGCACTGTAAGCAACATTAAAATCTGACAATTACTTTGCTGCAGCAGTGTGATGCAGAGAAGCAAAGGAAAGTAACTCCCATGTGTGAGCTATAATACAGCTTCTGTATCTGCTTTCTATTCTGGAAAAGCTGTTAAAGCACAAAGCATCGGTCTTTGTCGGCCCTGACCCGATCGGTTTTCAACTTTTTCAGCTTCAACCAGAAGCAGCAGCTGGAGTTGGAGCAACTGCACAGCGACTTTGAATGTCTCAGAAGTCGGGAGCATCACAAGAGCCGGCAGCTGGAGGAACTGACGTGAGTCTCTTCTTTACTGTCCTGGCCCTCTTTCAGACACCTCGCCATATGGAGTCCTGGAGGCAAGCTGCCTCTTTAGATTCTCATCTTCCTGTTTTTTTTTTTCTTTTTCATTTGTCTTCTGTTTTCACTATTTTCTACCCAGCCACTCTGCAGCTCTGTCAGTCTTTTTATAGTGGATGATTCTAGCAGCGTACACTTTTTGCACCATTTTCTTGAAATGCGTCCATCTTCCTGTCCAACCCATTTTGCATCTCCATCAGAGTTCTTGTTAATAAGGTAGCAGCTGGTTGTTAAGGGTCCCTTTCTACATTGACCTTTGCAGCATATTGCATCAGATGGCAGATGGGCAACACCCCCATGAGTGTAGCAGCCGGTCTATGCTCCCTTTGTTCTCCAGTCATGAATTATTCTGATCTGAATGAGGTAATCATTTGGGTAAAGACAAGTTCAGTTTTCAGATGTTCTGTCTGGTCATCTTCCTGTCTATGTATAGATTTCTCTGCGAACGGCATGAGCAGTCAAAGCAGGACCTCAAAGGGCTGGAGGAGACTGTTGTAAGTCATTATTTACTGTCACGATTTGATAAACTGCCTTCAGGAGCTGCCAATCCAATTACAGCTCCACTAAACAGCTAATTTACTCATTTCCTCCTTCTGTAGGCCCGTGAACTCTACACCCTGCACAACCTCCGCAAGCTCTTTGTTCAAGACCTCACGACTCGAGTGAGAAAAGTAAGGCAGGCAAGACCGAACACTCTGACAATCCAGCATTTTCAAAAGCAGCAATTTCTGTAACGCAGTTTTGACAGATGTTTGTTTTTTTCTTATTTTGACAGAGTACAGAGCTTGAACCTAATGACACCGGGGGATTTATCACTCAAAAACAAAAGATTTCCTTTCTTGAAAACAACTTGGAGCAACTTAGTAAAGTTCACAAACAGGTAACACAAGTGAGAAAACACAAAATATTACACTACAAAGTTTCCTGGCTGAAGCCAGGAAGCTGGTTCAGCCAGAAACACAACAGAAGAAAGGTTTAGATCAACAAATAGTCATGTGCTAAAACAACCCAGATATAATCTAGATCCAATTGAGAATCTGCGGCAGAACTTGAACATTATTGTTTATAGACAGTATTCAGTCAATCCTGTCCAACACTTAGCTTTTATTCTTGATTATTACTCTATTACCATTTGGGTTTATGGGGTGAGCTGTTGAATTCTGCTGTACTGTAAGTAAAAGCAACATTTTCACCATCAATCTTCTTAGCATAATTAAACAGAGCAAATTAGGCATCAAACGTTATACATTTTAGAAAAAACAAACTGTAAGATAAAATCAAGATTTGAAAATCTGTCTGTGGACACAAACACAGAACAAATAGACACACACACACACACACACACACACTTCCCATCTTCTTTAATATTCCTAAATGGACCGTTGCAGAACACTAAGTGGTGATCTGCTAAACGTTTTGCAGACTGGCAGAATATTTTGAGGCCGGCAGATTGGTATGAGCTGCACTGCAGCAGTTTGTCAGGCTGAAAACCAATCCTGAGGATACTGCTGGGGGTCTCAATCCCATCCTCTACATGCTGGCACGGTGCAGATGGAAAAAAAAAAAAAGCTATGGTCGTAAATCAGCAAGCTCCCCATGGTGCATGATAAGACTTTCAAAGAGAGTGTGGGACAGTGGTAGATTTAATCATCCATCTGTCCATCTAGCTGATTTCTCTTGCAACATCTCTTAGCTCCTGTGGGAGTCTCTGTGCTGTTCATCTTTGTTTTCTTTTAAAATGATTCGCAGCCAAACAATAAACTCCTGCAGCTGAGCCTGAGGTCAGTTAACTGACTTCTTGGATGTTTTGCCTGTTGGCCAAGTTTGCTTGCATGTAAAACCTCCTAATTCAGAATCCCTGCAGGATGGAGATTAGATTGCAAGATCACGTTCTGGCAGAGTGTTTAAAGGTTCGGTCATTATCTTTCCCCAAGGAAACCTGTGGAGAGCAGCAATTAAGGTGCAGAACAATATCCACATAGATTTTGCTTCATGACGGTAAACAACCATCATTTGTTTTACCACAGTGTTGTTTGTTACACTGTTTTATGAAGAAGTTGTTAAAGCTGAATTATGGACTTTAAAAGATGCTCATATTCCATAAAGAGTTATACTTTTAAATTAAAATGAATTAATCTGTTGAAAACAAATTAACTACCAAGCATAGCGTCATGAGTCTTTGTTTTATAAGTAAATGACCTGCCCTCCACAATCACTGGTAAATAAATTGTAAAAGGCACTAAAATAGATTCACATAAAGACTTTCTGTGTTTTGATTGTTTTTGTCAAAATAGTTTCCGCACAGTTAGAAAACTATTGCCACTCCTTCAACAAGCATTAGACACTCAATGACAACCAGTTGTTTGAAAGCCATGTCAATAAAAACCCTATATTTAATTTATTCACCTTTACTGTGAATTTGACTAGAACCTCAATTTGAAGTGACACTAAAGTTGAGCTTTCAGTAATATACACTTCAAGTGTGTTTGAAAATCAAAGGGTGATTTTGTGAGAACAAATAGTACCTAGTGTTGGGTACAGTGAAGGATCTGTGATTCTGTGGGCCTATTTAAAAAAATAAAAATAAAAATAAAAAAAGATCAGAAATCCTGTTTTTGAGAACTTTTTATGTGGAATGTTTGACATATCAAGAGTTTAAAACAAAAATAATTTTGCAAGATAATAATCCTATAGTCAATTCGACAGAGATAGTTCAACTGATACAAAAACATCCGTCCTTCATCACAATCCCATCCTGAGATCTAATTGCTATTAAAGAAGTGAGATGAAGAATAGAAAATAAAAGAGAAAATGCAAGTGAGACTCAGAGATATTGTGAAGAAAGGATCCCACTCTCTGTCCTCCAGCCTTGTAAAATACTACAGAGGAAGATGAAATACTATCCAGTTCATAAAGGGGGCTTGTATAAAATATATGCATTTAAAGGGTAGCTATAAATGTGGCTGTGATGTTGCTAAAATGTGTTTTTCCTGCTGTGGAAACGTTTCCTCACAAAATAAAATTAACTTTTAGTATAAGATTGAGCTGCTGAAAGACAAGAATAACCTATTTCCAGCTATTTAACAAGTTCATCCTAAATTTAAATTTCTTTATACTCTGAATCTCATGTTAGGAAGAAGCAATTTATGGCGTCTTCATTAACTCATAAAATTCCTTTGTATTTAAAACCTCGTTGAAAAGGATGGAGCATTGTTCAGAGCAGCATGTTGTCAACGAAGCATGATTTACTTTCACAAGTTCATAATCATAATATTGTTACTCTAATCTAAAAGTTAAACAAGTTTTAAAGCTTCTAGATCAAATCAACTCCATTGTGAGCTCTACTTCGCAGAGAAAGGCAAAAGTATCAATCCTGACATTGTCGGTCCGAGTGTGGTTAATTTTTTTCACATGGGTTACAGCTGGTACGCGACAACGCAGATCTTCGCTGTGAGCTTCCGAAACTGGAGAAACGTCTCCGCTCCACCGCCGAGCGAGTTAAAGCGCTGGAGGGAGCGCTGAAGGAGGCCAAGGAGGGCGCCATGAAGGACCGTCAGCGCTACCAGCAGGAGGTGGAGCGAATCAAGGATGTGATGAGGCGCAATCCTTTCCGCCGCCCCCACGCTGCACAGATAGGTAACATGAACACCTTGCTCACATCCATGAAATGACCCAGACTTTTAACTATGTCTTGTTGCTAACCTTCTGCTCCAAATAGCACACCAGTTTTTTTTTGTTTTTTTTCAAGGTTTTATTGGCTCTAGTGGCCTTTATTTGATAGTTAATTGACAGGAAAGTGGGAAATGAGAGAAGGGGAAGACATGCGGCAAAGGTCGCCAGGTCAGGTATTGAAACTGCGACGGCCACGTCGAGGACCAAGACCCCCATATGTGGGTTGTGCTTAACCCCTGCGCCACCACAGCACACCCAGCATACCCAGCACACCATGTTTTGTGTGGTGTGCTGCATCTCAGTAAATGTGCCCAAAAAGAGCTACATCTTCCTTTAAAACTATACGCTGAATATCCTGTATGTTATACGTAACGTATAAATAACATGTTACATATAACAGACAGCAGACAGCTGCATGTGAAAACAAAGTTTGGTGCATTTAAAGCTTTATGTAGATTTCTGATTACCATTTAGTATTTAAATATTTTGTATATTAAGAGTCTTGTATTATCTAAGAAACTCTCCTGTGCCGTTCCTAAGGGACTGGGTCTTTTAAGAGGAGAATTACTGAGCTAGAAATTAAATCACACTGCTGCAGCTAATATTTCTTTAATCTTGGTATTGGATTAAATTATGCATTAACACGGTTTTTCTGATCTTCAGGCAGACAATTATCAAGGTTATTGCTTAGTGTAGCTTATTACAGCAGCAGTGCTGTTTAGTACTCAAATTCATATTTATATTTTAATCTTTTTTTATATTTATAACTCAAGGATATCATGGAAGTGTCATGAAGGTTGATAATTATTATAACAATAGAAGAACTGTGTATCTTCATTGATTATTGGTCATGAGAAAATAAAATGTCACCAGGATAATAGCTGGAAAAAACTAGTTAGAAAAAAAATCTATACTTTTTACTGGAAGAGAGAAATTTAAACTTCTTTGACAAATATATTTCAACTGTTGCTTTTCTCTGTAACCAAAACCAATCCAGATGTGAAAAAAAATGTTACTCACTGGTTTTCATACTGCATTTGATCACAGTATTTTATTTGTCTGCTTTTTAAGGAAGCATCACACACAAGGGAAGTCCAACAGCCTCAGATTTAATGTTACCAACTTGTTACTTCACTCAAAATTGGTAACGAAATAGGAGACTACACAAGCAAACCTTAGATTGCTCAATTAATTTAGTTAACAAAATAATTCTTCAAAAAACAGTAAAATTCATCCTTGCCCCTCTGACCATCTGTATAAAAGGCCTTTCTATTCTTTAGTTAGAAGTTTTACATAAGCACATGGAAAATGCCAAATCAAGACACAATGGAAATCATCCATAATTTTATGTATAGCCCATATTAATTAATTTTATAGGAAGTTAACATATTACTAAAAGACAGTCTTATTTCCCTCAAGATATTTTCCTTTATAGGGTCAGTTTTCCTTTGGTCCCTAACAATTAATTTCCCTCACCTCTGGTCCTTTTCCATGGCACTGAAAGAAATTGCTAACCTTTCTGCAACCATCCCTTTTTATGTCCCTGCTGTGGCTTCATCACAAACAACATTCCCAGTACGCTTTAGTTCCACTCGTTCGTCATCTCTCACCTTCCTTTTCTAGATCACCTTTTTTTTTTCTGTACGTGTGAGTGCGGTGCAGCAATTTTTGCTGAAGGTAGCTCTGAAACCAATCTGGTTTGGTAGTCAGGAAACAGATGTACTTTAAAAACACATTTAGCAGAAGAAGATAGATTATGAGATGTTGATGTTTACCAAACTGAACACTAGCGCTGTGCTGTTTGAGTTTTATAGGTTGCACAGGCATGTGGCAATAACTGAAAAGTAGAAAACATCTAAGCTTGAAGAGGTTTAGCACTTACTGAAATATTCCCTCATGACAGGATTTGCACTGTATGTATTTAAAGAGGAAAGCTGAAGCTTAGAAAGCAGTATAATTTATTTTAATCACCAGCTCCCATCTTGAGCAGTTCAACCAAAGATAATTGCAATGAAATAATGAGAGGCACGCATGCCTCTGCTATGAGAAAACAAGATATTGATTTATGTGAGAGGCCTTAAAATGATGGCTTTCATTACAGGATTATGCCAGTCCAATGAAGAATAACCGAGAAGTTCTAAATTAACACATTCACAGCTTTCTAGAGACATTAAAAACTTTTAGGAAACTAAATTTGTCTTTAGGTTTTCTGGATGAATGCTGCAATCTGTGCGTCAGCCCTCTGTTATCGCTTGCAGCCAAGCCTGTGCGTCCCGGCCACTACCCACTCTATCCTCCCATCAACCACTTCTTCATCCGGGGCTACAGCGAAAACCCCGTCGCTTTCTGCAATGCCGGCTTCCAGAACAAAAACAACCGACCAGCAGCTCCCATGGATGCTCCTCCAGTTCATGACGCCGAGGCCAGATTACCTAAGGATGAGTGCAACCAGAACAGCTCTGCAGAACTCATCAACCCACAAAGTGACGACGACGGCGATGCTCAGAACAACATGTGAGTAAGCTCTGTTTCCCATTTTATAACTAGTTTCTTGAACTCTGACATTGTGGTTTGAACCTGTAGTATTAACTCAAGGTTTCATTTGTGTAGCTTTATAAGTCCTTCAGCTATGTAGTGGTGAAGTTGCCATGATAACCTTTCAGTAATAAGCACAATTACAGGTTCTGGACACTGTACTAAAATATTTCATATTTTTACAAGCAAATAATTTCTTTTTTTAACTGCTAAGTACAAGTTAAAACTTGGATGTACACTTATAGAGAGGCAAATACTTCCAAACTGAATCGTGAAAGAGTTTTAGATGCAGCCCAGCAACATTTATGTAAATTTATGTACATCATAACAAGAATAAATTGGTTTGGATTCTGAAACACAAAGGCTGTCATCAAGAAGACAGCTGAGGAAATACCAGTTGCTGCACTCTATGTATTTTTTATGTAAGAGAAAAAGAAGGGGGGATAATGATCTGCTGCTGTAGTGAGGATTATGTCTATCTCATATTTAAGTAAATAATTAAATAAAAAATAAATCAAAAAGATGCCTCAACGGTGTTAACAATTCAATAGTTTACATATTCAGACTGAAATCTGAACCACTGGAACTTTCTAACATATTCTGTTTCATACAGGCTTAACAAACAAAACTTTTAAAAAATTAACTTAATCCCTGGCTTTTGTTGCATTGAAGGTTGGGATTATTTTATCTGACAATTTACCACAACACATGTACAACATGTAGTTATAAAGATTAGCAGGGTGCACACGTTTTACAATCCAATATAGTTTTAACTTTTTCTTTCTGGAATGAATCAAAACATTCAACTCTCTTAATGATCTAGACATCATTCTGAATGTGGTTCTGATGTGATGAAGTCAGCTGCTTGTCTGAAGCTGTCTGTGAGGAACACTTTATTCATCTTCCTCTTTGATTACGTCTGCATCTCCTGTGTTTGTGGTTGAAGAGAGAACAGCTGTGATTTGATGCTACAATAGGTGCAAATTAGTCACAGCTGCTGGACTTGACGGACATGTTTGCGTCATGAACCAAATGAAGGGTTAATAAAATTGCTGTTTCTGTGAATTGCTATAAAAATGTTGAGACTGAAATTTATTTATTTTTTTTCATGATGGCAGAAATTCACTTTGGAACCGACAGCCTTAAGCTCAACGTTCCAGAGAGAAATTCTGCTTGATTTATTGTTCACATAACTTTCTGCTGCCCACAGCGTGTTGACTTCAAATAATACAAATTATTCATTTAATAGCTATGACCAGCTTTTTTTTATTATTTGTTGTTTAATCTGAAGATAAATACAAAGATTGTGTAACATATTTAACATAATTCCCTGTTTCGTCTCTTCTAGGCTTTCAGCTGAAGCAGTAAGCAAAGCGGAGAAGTCTTCAGAAATGCTTGATTCAGAAAACGGTGAGCCTCCTACAAGTAAATCCTGCGAAAGCTATGAGTAACCCTGATCAGCAGGGGTTCAATTCACTTAAATTTATGAGTGTAATTTCCTTACAACATTACGTCCTCATACCAGCCATTAAGTTCAGATGTTATTTTATAAACTCTTACAAAGAGCAGACTGTTAAGACAGTTAACGGAAACTGTCCTGCTGCTGTTCATCTGGTTTTCATTTCTTATTTCTGAGGCGGTAGGCGGATTTTAACTTGATGTGAATTTTGGAGGTTTCCACAATGCAGGTCAGAGTCATAAAGTTTCTACATTCTTACAAGATCCAGACTGTCATGTTTTAGGGTTTGCCCAGAGCATGTGCAGCCAACTGTGAGATCCTCCTGCTGCCTGAAGATTTTGTCCGTCTTCATCTCGGTGTTTGTGTACGTGTGTTATCAGCCGCAGACTCTGGGGGAGACAGATTAGGCTTGCAGTGTCATTACTCAGAGAAGCCGACAGACAAGCTGAAGGACCAATTCAGCCTCTGACCCAGTCATGACAGCAGTTTGAGTTGTGCAACAACATCACACCACTTTGATTCACTGGGAATATCAATAAAAGTCACAAATGGTGTTGGGATCAATTCATCAACATGCTGCAAGTGTTTATGCATTTCATTAAACATCAGACCTGATCACTGTTCTGCAGAGAACCCTTCAGGGATCTAATCAGCATGGATTTAGTTTGTGCTGCTTGGAAGTAGCTGTGATGTTTTTTTTTGTTTGTTTTGTTTTTTTTACCACAGTAGTTTGTATTCTGTTCAATTTATTTACCAGGTTAAATCTCTAAGGCTGCAGTCCCTCTCTCCCCTCTAGTAATTTCCACTCTGGTACTTCAGTGTGATGAATTTCAATAAGAGCTTGTGGGAAAATGTGGTCAAATGGCTCCACAAGGCTTCAACCCCAAGTTTTTCTCTTGCTTCTTTCCCTGTTTCTCTGATGAAGCCTTGAGAGGTGATTTCCTCTGACAGCAGAAGATTTTTAGTACCTCTCACAAAGCTTCTGTTGTGTATTTTTCTTCCTGAATATAAAGCCAGTGAAGCATGAGTTCTAATGAAATTATTCGCTAATTAAATCAACTTCTCTTTGTCCATCACAGGAAAATTACGCTCAGTCTTTCTGCATCCTGAGCAACAGTGAAAGCTCTCTGTTACGTTCAGTTGTCGATATGTGTGTCAGGCAGCCAAGGGAAAGTTTTGTGAAATCAATTCTTGTCAGGAAAGCTCAGTAGAAGATTATGAGACGGAGGATTTAGTAATAAACTGGTTGCCAGCACTGAGAAGCACCTGGAGAATGGATTTAGCTCAACAAACTGCACAGAGGATAAATATGGTCAAGGAAAAAATAAAAAATAAATAAATTTTCTATGTTAAGCGCTGCTCTGCTGCACTGATTGTCTACCAGTAATGGCAGCTTTTAAGAAGGATGTGTTTTTAATGAACATTTTAATGAAATTACGCTTTTGGAACCTGGATTCTTTCTGATATTTGCTGTATGAACAGAAATACTGACAGCAATGACTCTCCTCTTATTCAGGCAGGTCCAATGAAAGCAACGTATGAATGAAAACAACCAGGAATCACATTAGCATTCATCTTCATCCGCTCTGTGCTTAAGCTTGTATTTGCTTTTTGGTTAAATTCAGACATTAATGTACCTCTTGGTCAGACGCACATTAACCAGAGGTCTGTTGTGCAGCTCAGTCGGTTTTATAGCTTTTTGTGCAGAAAAGGGTTCTCATTTCATTTATATTCATAGTCTCTGTCCAGAAGTTTCATTCTAATCCTTTTTATAATTTGCATTGCCATAATGACAGGAAGACCTAAACTGTGCAGAAATAATATTCAAAATGTGCTGCTTCTGTCGCTCTTCATTAGTTTTTCTTGAGAAAATCTTGAGTTCTTTTGTTTCTGTTGTTATATGAACAAAATAACAGAAGAAAAATTTTGCTTTTTAACTGGTAATGAATAATATGATCAGTGAAAGAATTATGGAAAATTCTGGATGATTCTAATTAGTTTTTGAGTATGATTTTAGTGTTTAAGCAACCTTAAAAAGGCACATATATTCATACATTCTTTCCTCTTTCAGCTGCGTTCGGGCTGCTACCTATTAATAAATACATTTTCATGAGAACTGACAAGTATGTAGACAATATTGTAAAAGATTATTCAATTTGGAAAACAATGCTGGTTGTGACTTATTTATGTTTCATAGTTTCCAGAATGCTGTGATTCTTGCTTTAAAATACATTCTTTGCACTTTATCCAGAAGTAGAATAAAACCATTTTTCCTGAGTAATGTGGGTTTAATTGTACAAACTTATTAAGTAGAGCCTTGCTGCAGCCTTTGTTGCCATGATAATGAGGTTGTCAGATTGCTAAAATGTTCTATGCAGCTGCTTGTTCCAAAGTTACTAATCTTCAGTGGCTCTCAGATGTTATATTTAAGTCTGCGTGTGTCTTTTGTAACCCCACTTCCTCCAAGTCATAGCACCACCAAACCCCATTCACTGTGCACCTGTCTGTGTCCTTATGCACTGTTTCTGTCCACAGGAAACACCACAGATTTCAATGACAACAGGTAAGACTATGGTGAACCCAGTTTGTCTTCATGTTCTGATTGCACTTGTACATTAAGGACATGCAACATATGAGCTCTGAAATGCCATCCTCACTGTTGCATCTCCCTGCTCCATTGCTGCCCCCTTGCTGCGGACACTGCTACTGCTGCTGCAACGCCCTGTGATCCTGGTGTGTGTGCATCTGTGTATGTGTGTGGCGGTTAGCATGTGTCTGAATGTGAATTCTGTGCCCAGAACTGACGTCTGCGACAATCAGGACGCACCCAAACTCTACAAGTTGCAGAATGAGGCTTCGGCCAGCTAAGGTAAGAGTAAAGTATGTGATATCAAAGAACAGTGTTCATGTGCAAACAATGGATCAGAAATGAATGAAGAATATGTGAAATTTATTCCTCACAGGCTTTTAAATCTTTAATATCAAATCTTGTACATTTTATGTCTGCAAACTGCAGCTGCATTAATTTGGCCTGCAGGACTTTTGCATGGATTTCACAGGTACCACTCAGTGGCATATTCATTAATTAGTGGTATGTTTCTCTGCAAACCTTATAGGTTGGATGGCAAAATAGGCTCTTGGGAATTAATTAAAATTGTAAGCCGATAATTAAACATCACCTAAAAATGCAGGCTGGAACTATGCGGGAGCGTTTTTCTGTCATATATAATTTCAGATTGCCAGCTCTTATAAAAATTTATGATGCCAGCATAAAATAGCTTAGTCCAGAACTATTGCTGTTTCATGAAGAATAACATTGGCTTTGAAAGCTCCAGATGGATTTCTGCCAGCTGCGAGAGACAAAGACAAAAAATAAGTTACAGTGCTTTGAGATACTTTGCCTAAAAATAAAAAATACTAAGAAGACAGACGTCATCATAAGGTTTTAGATTATTTCTTAGTCATAGCCCAGTTATACAGAAGTATTTCACAGCGAACGTTAAGAGTGGCAGTTACTTTCTCTTTTGCTCAGAGCTTATTTTTTAATCCTGGTCTGCAGATGATTTCTGCATTTATAAACTCCACTGACCCAAGACTGTATGAGGCCCAGAGCAGAACTCCACTTCCTGTTAACCTCATAACCCAAAAGCCAACACAGGCCAAATAACTTATTTTTAGAGATCATGTTTGCTTGTATGTCGTGAACACAACAGCTCTAGATTTATGACTTACTAGTTACTAAACAAACTGAAGTGATCACACAGTGTGTCTTGCTTGACCCTGAAATTGTTCGCACTATTTGCTAAATGAAGTTTATTTTTCCAGTGTTCAGTTTCAGTACGGACACAAGAGAAAGAGTCACTTCTTTAAAGGGCATGCATTATAAAAGTCCAACTTATTTGAGCTTTATTTTATATATGTTATAATGTTATTCCCTCATTAAAAACATGTCTGCAGCGTTGCTTGACTCATTCATGCATATTTGAGGAATCTCCTGTGAAAGTCCTTTGGTGGTATCTGCTCATGCAAAGTGCCGCCTATTTACCCAAAGCTCCACCTTGGAGTTTCGGTCCCCACCTGAGCCCATGCTCCACAGAAAGACCCTCCAAAATGCCTTTCACACACATCTTCACCAGACTGGTGGCAGCAGCAATAAGCTGGTGACACTGCACGTCAGCTGAACTTATCATAGAAGATGCAACGCTCCAAAGAACAATTGTAATTGGCATCAATGGTTGGCTGGGAGAAGCATTGTTGAAGGGGGAGTGAAGAAGAGGTTCTTAAACAGAAGCAAATTTCAAGGACAATTCAATTCATTTTCATAAAAGCTGAAGGTAATTCTTGGTTGTGCCACTATGTGCCTGTAAAATATACAATACGCCTCCTTATCACCTTTAAATTAGTTGTACTTTCAAGCATGCATGGAAAATTGTCAATTAAGTGTTACTGCTTAATGATTACTTAGTAGCTGCAGTTAAATGTGACTCCAGACACAAGCAGCAGAGTCTCTACTGAGATTACATTACAACTGTTCCCAAATGAAAGGCATTACACTTTGAACATTTCTAGTCAAAGTTAAATTCTTTGAAATTTATTTTTAAAACATTCAAACCAGTCCTATAAGGTCAGCGTCCTGCAACACTTTGATTTGTCCCTGGTTTGGCAAAACATGATGGATAAATCAACTTCTTCAGTGTTTAGTCGGTTTCTTCAGATTCCTGCTAATGGCCTAATCCTGCTTTGTTGAAGTAAAGATCCATCAAAAACTTGCAAGATTTTGACCCTCCAGAATGAGAGTTTGACACTCATGCTTCTCATAGTTCACATTCACCGCTTTTGGGTCTTTACCCGACTGAAAATGATCCGACTCAGATGGAAAAGCTTCATTTGTGGTTCAGAATCAGGTTTAATACTTTTCCAGGAGGGACAGTGAAAACGTACCATTTAGTCTCTCTAAAAGTTCTCCATTCTGTTACAGCTCTGAGAACCTGTCAATCAAAAACCTGATTATTTTCCCATGTGCAGTGAGTTTTGCTGCAAAAGCTAAATTTGTCCGTAGACTTAAGCTTGTGCAGTTTCTAAACATAACCGCCTTTCTGTTAAGATACCAGACAGAAACTGACACACTCCTTCTGGCAAAGTTAGCATGACTCACAGGCAGCTGTCTCCTCTTCCTACCACGGGTTTCTCTTTGTCTGTTTTTCAAATGCATTTGACTGTCACTCTTACGCTCTGTTTCTATGTGTGTGTGTGTGTGTGTGTGTGTGTGTGGTTGTCTGTCTGCAGGCAGGCGAATGTTTCTGAGGCCTCCACTGTAAATCTGCATGCAGATGATCAATGTTGTTCCAGACTCCTCCTATCTGCCCCAAACCCACCTGCTGTAAAAAGCCCTCTTTGTGTCAGTTTCCCATCCTCAGCCTGTTCTTCTCTGGTTCCTTCTTCCTGTGTGTGGGTAACAGTTTGGCAAGCACTGCATCTCAAACACCTGCCAGCCTACACCTGCTGCTGCACCCGGTCACTATTACTTGAAATAGAACGGTCCCAAAATAGAGAGGCGGGGAGAGAGAGAGGCTGCATTGCAATCTGTTACCACCAGGGTGTGCTCATTGACATTAGGGGCAAACAATAAAAAAAATCTCTTTTACACCCCATAGTTATTGTCATCATTAGTAAACTATACATAAGTTTCTAAAAATACAAAAGGTAAAATGTGACATGAAAACAGGTTGAACCTTATAGTCACTTTATTAATGTTATTCTTTGTACTGCATGTTTATTTTTGATGAAACAACTCTTATGTTGAAATTTTTCAGAGTACAGGGGCCTTGTGTTGAAATCTATTAATGGTTAAAAGAAAAACCCTGAAACTAAAAATATTCTACAGTGTTTCAGTGGACTTTACTCAATGTTTCTCTCAGTCAGAAGCCGACAGTTTCCCCTGATTTAAGTTGGGGAAGTAAAAGCATTTATGTCACGTTTGTTGTAAAAGATAAAAAAGGGAGTCATTGATGTATTACCCCTCATTTTTGAAAGGTAAAGTAATTCCTAGAATAGAACTAATACAGTTTTTACTTTCCCTTACTTTAGCTTTTGAGAAAACATGTTACAAATACTGTAATATTTCTATTTTTACTTCAAACAGACCCCGTGTACGATTTTCATATTTTGTATTCATTTTTATTCCAGAAGAGTTTACTTTATCTTTTGTTTGAAACCTGGCAGCTGATCAGCTGTTGTCACTTTTTGATGATCCTCAGTGTCACCAGCTGGTTTGATATAATAAGTATCATGGCCAAGAGATGCATTTTCCATTTTTTCCATCATTCATATCATTTACTATTTTAAAATACAATCGTTTGAAGCTTAGACAATGTGATTGGTGATTCTGAATATTCAAGCATTTTCATTAATTTTACTTTTTTATTTAACAAACATTTATTCAGATTGTTTACCTTTTGAAAATATGTTGATGTGGGCTTCTGGCAAAAAAAAAAAAAAAAAAAAAAAAAAAAGAGAAATTAATGCAAATCTCTTTCTTTGGGGGGGGAAGACTTTTTATTGCACCTTTT